AGAATTCTGGGGTTTGTAATTTAGTGAGGCTGTTAAAAGCTCTTCCCTAAACTACAAACCCCAGAATTCTGCAGGAGGCAGCAACCAGATTTAAAGTGGATTCATTCTCTAGTGTGATGAGGTTGGGATTCGGAACCAGTGTTTCCAGTATTCCTGTTCAAGTTTTAAAAGTAAACTGTGTTCCCCTAGTTACTTAAAACATCAATAAAAGCTGTATTGTAGGTACTTTTAATACAATACTTCCAGACTCTGGGATAGCTCACATTTTTTAATGTCCTGCCAGCGAGAATGATATCAGATACAAATGTGGGAGCCCTTTGTTTCAGCAGAGCAACCCGCTAGTATGCAAATAAAAAAGCACAATGTTGAGGGCTCGCACACAGCATCCCTCATACCTCAATCGAATATGTCAGAGTGTGGGCAACTCAGCATGTTAAAACAGAATAGATTACATTGTTGGACTGTTCTTCCTCATCAGATTTAATCATCTGGTTACGTCGGCACCAGCTTGCACATGAACAAAACAGTTTATAAGGAAGCGCCTTTTATTTTTAGATGACATTTTATAGAAGAATGCTCCCCTCTATGTGAGACAGAAAAGCCTCTAAGATAGTGCTTACGACACATGTTTGGTATCTACAAATATGATTAATTTTATTTGCTAGAAACCAATTTGATCACTCCTTTGATTTAAATTAGTTATTGGATTGAATCAATGCCTCTCTTGAAAAACATTCCCTGATTTGCAAAATAATGTGATCTCATCAGGCCAATTTTCTGTGGCCCCCCAAAAAAGTACATGGCCACTCTGCACAATTTGTGCTCATATCCTTAATTTATTCTCCCCATCAAGTTGTGGGAGCTAGTTCAAAAAAGTAATCTTTCAAGCTGTTGCCTATGGTTGTGCAATGGGGAGAACCTCCAGGTCAACTCCATCTTCCTCACATTTTAGATTACGTGTCCATATACTGATGTGTTACTAGGCAACCGCTACATTTCCCAAACAAAAGGAAAAGCTGTGCCAAACCACTAGGTTACTTCAAATCATTAGCAGCACTTTAGTCCAAGTATGGAAAAAATGATTATCTGCTCTGTGAGCAGAACCTGTTTGGAACCAGTCTCTTCCAAGAAGTATCTCTTCTTCAGAAACTGAAAGGTTTAGCAAGAAGGTACTCTGGGTTTGTAAAGGGATTATTTGAGGGGAAACATTCCTTTTATCTTGATTATGTAGTTTTTGCTGCTCTCATCTCAGAGTCATAGATGATTTCAGGAACAGAAACAATTTATACACAATCTGTGACATTTCCTTTGTTCCAATAAAGATGTCATCGTGACTGGATTTCAAAATATTTCAGAAGCATTTATCTTCAGATACACACAATGCCTCCTTCATGCTCCTTCTCCTCTAGAGTCGCTTTGCAAGAACAGATTTCTTGTCCTAGGTAGCCACCTTGTGGTTTGCATTGATCTTGCAGCCTCCATCCATCTTAATTAAAATCATTTTAGATTCCTAGCTGGTACAGCAAGCCTTCCACATTAGCTGGGGTTAGGGGCCCAGGACCCCTGTGGATATGCCAAGAGAACCTAAGAGAACACCTCAATCTCTAGGTCCTCCAGCATGACAGGAGAAATTTAACTTTAGAATCATACTGGAGGGCCTAGAGACTCTTAGAACCCTTCCAGGCAGGCCCTATATTCCAGGATCTGATCCCAAGTTTTCTGCTTTAAACCGGATTATATGAGTCTGCACTGCCAGATAATCTGGGATAAACAGAAAACATGGGATGAGATCTTGGGATATAGGGCCTGTTTGGAAGGTTGCTTCTATATTTACTGTCCTGATTTTAGTGGGTTTTTAAAAATACTAGTATCCAGATTTAGTTCATTTTCATAGTTTCCTTCTTTCTGTTGAAATTGTCCACATGCTTGTGGATTTCAATGGCTTCTCTGTGTAGTCTGACATGGTGGTTTCTTGGAGTGATCCAGCATTTTTGTATCCTCAAATAATATGCTGTGTTCAGGTTGGTTCATCAAGTGCTCTGTTATGGCTGACTTCTCTGGTTGAATTAGTCTGCAGTGCCTTTCATGTTTGTTTGTTTGTTTGTTTATTTACTCTATTTGTATACCACCTTTCTCAGCCCGTAGATGACCCAAGGCGGTTAACAGGGTAAAATTCAATGTTTACAATGTCATAAATACAATTAAAAACAGAACATATAATTAAAACTAAACAAATAAAATATAAATTCATAGTGTCTTCTTATTGAAAATGTTGTCCTGACTCATTGTCTAGTCGTTCCATTTTCCTGTCAGTTACTCTGCATTGCAAACGCTTGTTCAAAAAGTCACATCTTGACTTTTTTCCGGAATGTTAAAAGGGAGGTGGCCGATCTAATATTTATAGGGAGGGCGTTCCACAGCTGAGGGGCCACCACCAAGAAGGCCCTGTCTCTCGTCTCCGCCAAACGTACTTGTGACAAAGGTGATAACGAGAGCAGGGCCTCCCCAGATGATCTTAAAGTCCTAGATGGTTCATAAGGGGAGATGCGTTCGGACCTGTAAGTTGGGCTAGAACAGATTAGAGCTTTATAGGCTAAAGCCAGCACTTTGAATTGTGCCCGGTAGCAAACTGGCAGCCAGTGGAACTGGCGTAACAGAGGAGTTGTACGCTCCCTGAGCGCCGCTCCTGTTAGCAATCTGGCTGCCGTTCATTGGATCATTTGAAGCTTCTGGACAGTCTTCAAAGGCAACCCCATGTAGAGTGCATTGCAGTAGTTTATACGGGATGTAACCTGAGTGTGGACTAAAATGGCCAATTCAGACCTCCCAAGATACGGGCACAGCTGGTGCACAAGTTCTAACTGTCAAATGCTCCCCTGATCACCGTTGAGACCTGGGGTTCCAGGCTCAGCGATGAGTCCAGGATCACACTCAAGCTGCGAACCTGCGTCTTCAGGGGGAGTGTAACCCCGTCCAACACAGGCTGTAATCCTATGCCCTGTTAGGCCATACGACTGACCAGGAGTACCTCTGTCTTGTCTGGCTTCAGTTTCAATTTGTTTGCCCTCATCCAGATCATCACAGCAGCCAAGTATTGGTTCAGGACTTGAACAACCTCCTTAGTAGCAGGTGGGAAGGAGTGATAGAGTTGGACATCATCTGCTTACAGGTGACATCACACCCCAAAACTCTGGATGATCTCCCCTAGCAGCTTCATGTAGATGTTAAACAACATGGGAGACAATATTGAACCCCGAGGAACCCCACAAGACAATGGTTGTGGGGTTGAACAGGAGTTCCCCAGTAACATCTTCTGGGTGCGACCTTCCAGAAAGGACTGGAGCCACTGTAGAACAGTGCCTCTCAGGCCCATTCCAGAGAGGCGTCCCAGTAGGATATAGTGGTCGACGGTATTGAAGGCCGCCAAGAGGTCCAGCAGAACAAATAGGGACACACTCCCCCTGTGTAGCTCCCAGCGTAGATCATCAACTAAAATGACCCAGGCTGTCTCGGCTCCTTGATTCGTGTTTGGGCAATGCTGCGTTTGCTGGTTCCTATGTAGACTTGTCCACAGCTGAACGGTAGACTCCTGCAGAGGTGGGAAGATTCCTCTTGTCCTTTACTGAACGTAGGCAGTAAGCTGCCAGACATTGCACAGATATATATATATAAACCCTATTTTCCTAGTTTCCAACAGACCTCACAACGTATTGTCGAAGGCTTTCATGGCCGGAATCACTGGGTTATTGTAGGTTTTTTCGGGCTATATGGCCATGGTCTAGAGGCATTCTCTCCTGACGTTTTGCCTGCATCTATGGCAAGCATCCTCAGAGGTAGTGAGGTCTGTTGGAACTAGGAAAAGGGGGTTATATATCTGTGGAATGACCAGGGTGGGACAAAGGACTCTTTTCTGCTGGAGCTAGGTGTGAATGTTTCAACTGACCACATTGATGATTAGCATTTGATAGCCTGGCAGTGCCTGGAGCAATCTTTTGTTGAGAGGTGATTAGATGTCCCTGATTGTTTTCCCTCTGCTGTTTTAATGTCAGACTACACAGAGAAGCCATTGAAATCCACAAGCATGTGGACAATTTCAACAGAAAGGAGGAAACCATGAAAATGAACAAAATAATAATAATAATATCTGGCTACCAGTATTAAAAAACTCTAAAATTCCAGCAGACAAGAGTCCTTTGTCCCACCCTGCTCTTTCCACAGATATATAAACCCATTTTCCTAGTTCAAACAGACCTCACTACCTCTGAGAATGCTTGCCATAGATGCAGGCGAAATGTCAGGAGAGAATGCCTCTAGAACATGGCCCTATAGCCCAAAAAAACCTACAACAACCCAGTGATTCCGGCCATGAAAGCCTTCGACAATACACCTTGATTAGCATTTGATGGCCTGGCAGTATCTGGGGCAATCTTTTGTTGAGAGGCGATTACATGTTCCTGATTGTTTCCCCTCTGTTGTTTTGCTGTTATAATTTTAGTTTTTTTTTAAATACTGGTAGCCAGATCTTGTTCATTTTCATGGTTTCCTCCTTTCTGTTGAACTGGTCCACATGCTTGTGGATTTCAATGCCTTCTCTGTGTAGTCTGACATGGTAGTTATTAGAGCGGTCCAGCATTTCTGTGTTCTCAAATCATATGCTGTGTCCAGGTTGGTTCATCAGGTGCTCTGCCATGATCTCACAACCTCTGAGAATGCCTGCCATAGATGCGAGTGAAACGTCAGGAGAGAATGCTTCTGGAACATGACCATATAGCCTGAAAAAACTACAACAACCCAGTAATTTCGGCCATGAAAGCTTTCGACAAAAAAAAAAAAAAAAAAAAAAACTTAGCCGCCCGCGCTCTCAGAAGTCGAATTTCTATAGGCTAGCGTCACGCGCTTCTTGACCAATAGGAGGGGGAGCTTGATACGGAAGTTCGCGCGCCGCGGCGGGCACTTCCTCAGCGTGTGATTGGCTGGCTGCGGTCAGGTGGGTGAGCCGGTCCCTCGCTCCCCCTCCCAACTGTGTGCTGCGCAGTAGAACTTTGGCGCAGCCGGGTCCCACTCCGTTGGAAGAAGAGGCGGCGGCAAGAAGGACGGTGGCTCGGAGTGAGGGGTGAGGCAGGGCTTGGCAGCGGGCAGGCCCCGCCTTTCCTCCATACTCGGATCCGGGGAGGGAGGGGGAGACCGTTGTGCCACTGGGGTTGGGGTTGAGAAGGCCCCCGGCTTGGGATCCTTGTTGTTTTCCTTCCTGGAAGGGCTCCTGCGCCTTTAGGACATTCAGGGGAATGGCTTCCTGTAAGGAGCCAGCGTTGGGCTCCAGTCCTGGAGGGCAAGGCCCTGGGCTATGGAAACCCATTGGGTGCCCTTGGGGGCATGTAAACAGCAGAACTATAGGTTTGGCACCACTTTAATAGCCATGGCTCAGTGCTATGGAAGCGTGGGAGTTATAGCTTTGCAAGGCCTTTAGCTTTCTCCACCAAAGAGTACTAAAGCCTCACCAAACTACAAATCCCAGGCTTCCATAAGCATTGAGCCATAGCAGTTAAAGTGGAGTCAAACTGCATTTAGTTCAACAGTAGATCAGACATAGGCAAGCATAGGCCCTCCAGGTGTTTTGGGCTCTAACTCCCACAATCCCTAACAGCCTCAGGACCCTTCTTTTTCCCCCTCAGCCACTTAAGTATATCTGTACTCTCAACAAAAGATTCCCCCCAGGTGCTACCAAGCCATTGAATGCAAATCAAGGTGATCAGCTGAAACATCCACAGCTAGCCCCAGCAAACAAAAGTCCTTTGTCTCACCCTGGTCATTCCACAGATATATAAACCAATTTTCCTAGTTCCAACAGACCTCATTATCTCTGAGGATGCTTGCCATAGATGCAGGCGAAACGTCAGGAGAAAAATTGCCTCCAGAACATGGCCATATAGCCCGGAAAAACCTACAACAACCCATGGATTCCGGCCATGAAAGCCTTCGACAATACATTATATCTGTATTGTGTTAGTATAATGTTTTATTTTGTACTGCTCTTTGTAAGACCTTAGGGTCTTACTATGCTTTAGAACAGGGGTCCTCAAACTAAGGCCCAGGGGCTGGATACGGCCCTCCAAGGTCATTTACCCGGCCCTTGCTCAGGGTCAACCTAAGTCTGAAACGATTTGAAAGCACACAACAACAACAACAACAATCCTATTTCATCAGCCAAAAGCAGGCCCACACTTCCCATTGAAATACTATTAAGTTTATATTTGTTAAAATTGTTATTCATTTTAATTATTGTATTGTCTTGTTAAGGGTTTTTTTTGCAATACATATAAGATATGTGTAGTGTGCATAGGAATTAATTCATGTTTTTTTTCAAATTATAATCTGGCCCTCCAACAGTTTAAGGGACTGCGACCTGGCCCTCTGTTTAATAAGTTTGAGGACCCCTGCCCTAGGGGGACTCAGGGCGGCTTACAATTGGCAACAATTCAATGCCGCTACATAAAATACAAATAGCAAAAATAACAATTAAAACCATGAACATTAAAATAAAAATTAAACAGTATACTTACGATCCATTTGCCAGTCTGGTGGCTATTTCTCTAGCCATATACTAATGATTACTCTACTTCACTTATCCAAATCCACTTCCAAGCCATAGTCAAATATTATCCATTGTCCTTTAACCTGATTGCCCGAAGGCCTGGTCCCACAACCACGATTTTACCTTCTTTCTGAAGGTGAGGAGGGATGATGATGATCTAATTTCCATGGGAAGCGAATTCCAGAGGTGGGGGGCTACTACTGAGAAGGCCCTGTCCCTCGTCCCTGCCAAACGTGTTTGAGATAAAGGCGAGGCCGAGAGCAGGGCCTCCCAGAGGATCTTAAGCTCTGAGGTGGGACGTAGAAGGAGATACGTTCGGACAGGTACGCTGGACCGGATTAAGAATTAAGCGGCTGAAGGGGAAAAGGAAGGGTCCTGAGGCTGTTAGGGATTATGGGTGTTGGAGTCCAAAACACCTGGAGGGCCAACACTTGCTCAATCCCATGCCTAGTGTAGATGCATCCTTTGGGCAAATCACACTTTCTCAACCCCAAGGGGGAGGTCATACCAAACCTCTTCTCAACACGAATTGTGCTAAAAAAAACCCCCAGTGATCGGTTCACCTTAGGGTTGCCATAGGTCAGGAACATCTTAGAAGCACACAAAAACATTGTTGGTGTAGAAGTGATTTGAGAAGTTTTACCTGCTGGATTTCTTTGGACCAAGTAACTCAGGCACTTTTAGAGTTGTGGGCATCAGTACTTCTAGGAGATACTTGATTCCTGCCTCAATTTGTCGACCAGGACATTTTTTTATCTTGAACTTTGCTTTAGATCCCTTTTGAGTGCTATAGCTGGTGGAATTGCTCATGAGATGCAAACTGAGATGCAAAATATGATGGGCCTGGTTTTCTTTCTGCCCCACATGGTTCATGTGAACATCATTTACAGTTAATAATAATAATAATAATAATAATAATAATAAACCTTTATTTATACCCCGCCACCATCTCACCAAGGGACTCGGAGCGGCTCACTGGTTATCCTATGAGACAATCAGGAGAGATAGATTTGGATTTATATGCATTTTTAATCAATCACAGCTTCAGATTAGGAAGGGCCTCCCAGAATTTTTTTAAATTAGATTTTAAATTCAATTTTATAGTTGTTAAAATGACACATGTTTTGGGGCTTCTTTAATTTGGAAGGCCTCAGTGTATCTTAATCCATCCTAGTAGATGAGAGTGGATGATCTGCCACTCCAGTTTATACATCCTTCAGTATATGTATGTGGGCAGATAGTTTAACGTGCTTGTGATTACATCCATAACAAATCAAATAGTGCTGACTGTGATTATTTGGCACAAAATGTAAGGATGTTTTCTGATGTATGTAGTTGCATTGTGAATTTCACAATGGATTTCATATCCAATAAGTGTATATGAAGTAAGTACAACACGATTGGAATGGCTCCCGTACTATGACATTGGATTTGCGTTGTTTTAATAATTGGTTTTAAATGCATAAGTCTTTTAAACTTCTATGATTTAATGTGTATGTTTATTGTTTTACATGTTTGTTTATATGACATTGAATTTTTGCCATTTTGTAGGCTGCTCTGAGTCCTTCAGTGTGAGAAGGGTGGGGTATAAATATAGAAAATAGATAAATAAATAAGCATTTTTATAGGCAACGTTCTTTCTTTTGCGTAGCCTTCCCTTTGCCTTGAAGTCTTTGGGACACATGGAGAATAATACTTTGTCATTACTTGCATAGGTGATCCCTTGTAGTCCGGGGATGATGCCCTCCAAGTGTAGTGTCTTGGCAGTGGATATGTAGGTGGCTGTGGAGACTTGTTCTTGATTCATGTGTTGTTCCGCAGTGAGGACATTGGTTTTCAGGTGGAAGGCGGTCCCAGTCAGGGTTGGCTTGACATGCCTTCCTCTTGTCACATTTCTCCCCTTTGCTCTCCATTCGTGCCTCTTCGAATTCCACAGCACTGCTGGTCACAGTTGACCTCCAGTTAGCTTTGTCATACGATATATAATAGCGAGAAGATGGTTAATTGATTATATAGAAATATCTTGTAGTTGATAGGCAGGAAGTAATGTTAACTTTTTTCTTTCTGATGGAGAAGGGAAGTTTTTTTTTTAAAAAAACCCTTTTTCTTTTATTTGGTATAGATGGTATATGTAATCTATAACTTATATGTGGCCTATACTATAACAACACAACACACACACTTTGTGGTGCTGCTTCTGGCACCTCCTGGACAAAGGTAGAACCTGTTGTATCTTTGTTTTTCATGACTTGCTCAGTTCACATGAAGTCAGTTGTTATGCACGGATCGAAATACTCTCTCGGAGTATTTTGACCTGTTTACTTTGGATGATGTGGATTTAGGAATAATTGTGTTATTATTTTTCTTTGCTTCCATGTTTATAGTATGCAGTTGTTGGAGCGTGAGGGTGGAACAGCCACTGGGAATGGGCTGGACAGCCCCACAGCATCTGATGTCAAGCCAGTTTCTCCTTCACCCACTAAGCCCCCTCCCTTGGACCTCTTCAACCTAGTTGTGTCATATAAACAGCTGGAGCTGTATTTGGAACCAATACAAGATGTTGCTGAGGGTGTGTGGTTCCTCCTCAGGTAGGTGCCCTTCTCTGAACACCTTTACCTTTGCAGTCGTGTTATGGTAGATGAAGAGCTTGTATTAGCTACTGTTGTCCTTGAGGGAAAGGAAGCATGGACCCATGTACTTATCCTGATGGGCAGAAGAAAGAAGGGAGGTCTATCTGATGTATTCATTAGTTTAGAAGTCATATCATATCCCTGATATCCAGAGTTTGCATGCAGGCTATATAGGGAATTCTGTAAGAGGTTGAGCTTTAATAAGAACTGCTACTGTATTTGTGGCTTGTTCAGTGGCCAGAAGAACAAAGCCTGTGGCTGACTAGATTGCAGTGCATATGCTTTTCCCCCCTCATACATTAGGTTTCTCCATTTGCTAATCATTTTTTTGCTGACGGCATTACTTTGTTTTCTTGTCATGGCCTTAGTGTTGGCCTGTCTCTTCTTTCTCCATCACTCTTAAGCTCATGTCCACTATATATTACTACAGCACTTCTTCATGTTTTTTCTGCAGCTGGCAGATGCCTCTCTGTTCCCTTCTAACTTGCCTAGGGATCAACCTTTTGCTGCTGACACTGAGTGAAGGTGAGATATGTTGGATGTCTTTTTTGGAGATTAAAGAGAGCAACATACTTTCTTCCAACATGGTGGAAGTAAAGAGTTAGTGGAGCCAACATTGGGGAATAGAGAACGATTTCATGCATGGACAGTTATGGGGATTAGTCAGTAAATGTTGAGAAAAAGGGAGGCAATTGTGGGTCTGGTAGGCAGAGAGGCCTGCTTTGATTTGACAACTTGAGTAGGAGGTAATGGTGAGAAATCTGGCTGATAATTCTACAAACGGTGCAATGACCTAACACATTCTATTTCATTTCAATCTTCCATTCCAGCTGCTTGGTATGGGTTGTTTGTCCTACTGATCTTGGTGCCGGCCATGCTGGGCTACCTTCAGGAAACATGTCGCATCCGCCTGAGCGAAGAAGAGTTGGCACGGCGGAGGTACCACAGTGTGCGACGTGAGGATGTGAGAAAGGTTCAGCTCACTCGAAATGAGGCTGTGGCTGAAGTGAAGGGCTTGTAAGTATGCTGGGGAGCAGAGAAATGGTGAAAACTGGTGGGCTTTCAGCGGTGCTTGAGGGTTGCTGTTTGATAGGAGCTTTGTAGACTAGGCCAACATTAGAGTTTTCTCATTTCTAAATATTTGTCCACATGAGTGGCTGAGCTAGTGATTGCTTTATGATGGATCAATGCACCCAAACATCATTTCATTCACAAATAATTATTTTAAAAATAGTATGTATAAAATTACTTTCAGGCTAGGTGTATAAAACACATAAATGAGTTTCGTATTTAGATTTGGGTCCCATCTCCAAGATATCTCATTATGTACCTATAGGAAAGTACAGGGATTCCAGAAATCTGAAAAATCTTTTTGAGTAATACTCAAAAAGCAGGGGAATTCCAGACAAGAGCCAGCTAACACCTCCAAACAAAGGATTCCCCCAGGCAGCAATCAGCCAGGCTTTGAAGCTGCAAGGCCATTAAAAGCTAATCAATGTAGCCAACGGCATCATTCACACTTGCCTCAAACAGAGTTCTTTCTACTGCCTTGGACACACAGATATATAAACCTCACTTGTGTAGTTTCTAACAGACCTCACAACTTCTGAGGATGCCTGTCATGGATGTGGGTGAAACATCAGGAGAGAATGCTTCTGGAGTGCTTCTGGAACAGACAGCCTGGAAAAATCACAGCAACTCAGTGATTCTGGCAATGAAAGCCTTCAGCAACAAATTGTAGCATGAACTGTAATATGTATTGCCTACTTTGTTGGATGCATGAAGTGTTATCCAGAATGTCTGGGGTATGTAGTTGTGTATATGGATTTATATTTATAGGTTGTCCAAAATTATTTTTACAATTTTATTTTCTATATTGGGTTGATATGCTTTAAATATATTCCTTATAGAAATTACATTGTAAAGTTCATTTTGGCGTATCCTGTATGTGACAAGGTTGAGAATGGGATTTTAAACAAAGTCAGGAAAGATGAAATATCACCCTGAGTCCTTTTGGGGAGATGGTGGCGGGATACAAGAATAAAGTTGTTGTTGTTGTTGCTGTTGTTGTTAAATACAGAAAGTAATGGTGTGAATTGTATGTATACTTGAAATTCTGGATTACAGTGTGTCTGATGAGGTAGGCTGTAGTCCATTAATACAGTTCATGCAGTATTACATTTGTTAATCCTGAAGGTGCTACAAGACTTTTTATTGTTTAAGCATTTGCATGGCTATGCTTCCCACTTTTCAAAAGTGTGCATCCTCATTTTAAAACCATGGATCGATTTCAATCACCAAGCAAGAAACCTCATCTTTAAATCATTGATTTTAATCATCTTTTCCATTTATACAGTTATTTTTTTTCCAAAGAAAGTTGTGTTCTTGCTGCTCGACAAAGCTATTAGAACATATTGATTCACAACTAAATGTAATCATTTCTCCAGATTTAGAACATCTATTAACTACTTACAAGTAGGACATGACATTGGTGCATACATTTTAAAGCAGTTATAAATACCCTAAACCCACCAGATCCTGTCTGATCTTAGAAGCTAAGCAGAGTCAGCCCTGGTTAGTACTTGAATGGGAGGCTGCCAATGAATACTAGGTGCTGTTAGATTTCAGAGGACGGAATTGGCAAAGCTACCTTTTGAGTATTCCTTGCCTTTAAAAACCTATATGAAATTCATAGGGTTGCTGTAAATCAATAGGTCACTTGAAAATAGACAAGTAGACAAATGGTTTCCATTTCTGAAGCATCAGGTTATTGCAATGACTGTGGGGGAAACGAGTACTGTGAGAAGGAAAATATTTAATGATGCTATCATTTCTCTTCAGTTTGGTGCAGTTAGAGGCCCTCCTGAGCCGGTTATGTGGGAGCTGTGAGGCAGCCTATCGTGTCCTTTATTGGCAGAACCCTTCTCTCTCATCACAGTGAGTGTTGTGTTATGACAGACTTAATTCTGGGAGCCTGCTTGTAGCTCTTAGAGGGGGTTCTTTCTGGACTAAATTAAGACCTCCCCCCAACTAAAACTCTTCGTGACCCAAAGTTCACTTTTTGGAAGTTGGGGTGGGTGGTGGTGGAGAAACAGGACAAAGTTAGGTTCTGTGTATTGTTTTGAATATGAATGATTGTTCCTGGAGTTTTCAATATTGGGATGAAATTTTCTTTCTGGAAGAAGGTACCATTATATATTTGAGTATAAGCCGAGTTTTCAGCCCTTTTTTAAGGCTGAAAAAGACACGCTCATCTTATACTCGATTCAAGGTTATTTATTATTTTACTCTATTATTGTTATTATTTTATTACATTCATTATTATACTCTATTATTATTATTATTATGTTTACATTATTTTATTCTATTATTATTTCTATTATATTTATTATTTTACTCTATTATTACATATATTATTTTTCTCTATTGTTACTGTTATATTTATTATTTTACTCAATTATTTCTGTTATTACCTTTATTATTTACTCTCTTTATTATTATTGGAAGGATACGTAAGCACATTTACATTGAAGAGATTAGAATACAGGTAATGGTTTAATCAGAGTTGAACAGTCTTATCTTAAATTACAGTTTTATGTAAATATGCAAAAACATTTAACTTACTGATGCCTCAATTAATATAATTTTATTGGTATCTATTTTTATTTCAAAATATACCCGTAGCTGCTTCATTTTTCACCCTCAGCTTTCCCAGTTTTTTTGTGGTAAAATTAGGTGCCTCGGTTTATGTTTGGGTCGACTTATACTTGAGTATATATGGTATATTGGAGGCTATTTGTGGGCCGATTGGACCTACCAAATAGTTCTGGAGATACAATGATACCTACTTCTGCTTTATTTGGTCTTAATGGAAGCTTTGCCCATTGTGTCAGTGCAAAGGCTAAGCAAAGCCTTGCTTCTTTGGGGGTTGAGAGCTGCTCTGCTGTTCAGATCTAGCTAGGCCACTTCACTTATTTGCTTTTATGTCTGATCTCGAGAAGCTGTCTGTATTTAGTTGTAGTGGCTGTTGTTCACACTGTCCAGACTCATAAAGACCTATTGGTTTGTCCAAACTCAGGCAGGGTATTGGGTAGAATATCTTTGTGTGTGTGTATGGGGTGGTGATATCAAAATGCATCATACAGGAATGTGGGGATGTAAACAGTTCTGAGATATCCCCAATCATCTTACTGTCAAGGTGTGTCATCCCCATCTGCTGTCTTCCTTTCCTCTTCCTAGGTTTTATGGAACGCTGATGGGTTTCGCTTGTGCCCTCTACCTGCTGCCCTTGTGTTGGGTCTTTGTTCTTCTCAATAATGCCCTTTTCTTGGGCAATGTTGCATTTTATCGAGGTAAGAGGCAACACCCTCTCCTTGGAAATGAATTTGTAATTGGGGGGGGGGGGGGGGGATGAAAGCACTGGGTTGGAGCAGGTGGCCAGAGTCAGAATCTTTCTCTACTAGATGGTAGCTTGAGGTAATGAACCAGGTTTATGCATCCTTGCTGCTGGCTTATATTTCAAATGGAGGACGGCTCTGTGGTGCTGATAGTAAATTTTATTGTATAAGGAGATGAGTTGTGTATTTGAAAAAAGTCATGTGTGTTCACAAGACCCATACAGTAAAACTGTACTGGGCGAAACTCTGGTAATTTACTGCTTGTCATGTCTTTTGTAAGATGTTCTAGTGGAGAAGCAGTTCATTGCATGTGGCTAACGTTATGTTACAGATTTTTTTTCTTCCAAGAATCAATTTCAGCTGAGTGCTTTCTCAACATTTTGGTATGCCATGAAGTGCATTTATCACATGACAATTTTAATTGAGAGAGAGATCCACAAACAGGAATTATTCCATTCAAAGTGCAGCTTTTTCTCTGAAACCTATTTGGGTGAAGGCATGGTTTCTTATCTTCACTCTGAATTGGCTTCTTGAAGTTCCTCGTGCAAAATCTCCTGGTGTTAATACTTAACCAAATGTCTCTGCCTGTCTTTTTTTGGTCATCATTTGAAACAAAAATGTGACAGCGGAAAAGAAAATATATTTAAGGAAAAAGTGCTAATTTTCACAAAGATTTAAATTTTATAGTTTAATTAAATTTTATAGCACCGGGATTGTGGCGCAGCTGGCTAGGTGTCAGCTGCATTAAGATCACTACTGACAGAAAGGTCATGAGTTCGAAGCCAGCCCGGGTCGGAGTGAGCTTCCGATTGTGTAGCTTGTTGTCGACCTTTGCAACCCGACAGACAGTTACATCTGTCAAGTAGGAAATTTAGGTACCACCTATATGTGGGGACGCTAATTTAACACATTTACGAGGCCATAAAAAATCTCCAGCAAAAGTATGCGGGGAATGCAGAAAGTACTTCATCAGTGTCACAGATGGACGGTGAAGCGACAGCTTCCCTGGTGGCCAGAAAATTGAAATGTTAAATAGCCTCTGACTGTCTGTCTATATGTGCTGTGTGTCTATGGCATTGAATGTTTGCCATGTATGTGTACATTGTAATCCGCCCTGAGTCCCCTGTGGGGTGAGAAGGGCGGAATATAAATACTGTAAATAAATAAATAAATACATAGTGTGAAGAGTATGGCTTACCATTTCATCAGTGAAGAAAGTGGAATAGATGTGTGTGTGTGTATTCTAAAAAGTATCATACATCCAGTTCTCACTGTGAAACTCTTCTCAGTGTTTTCCTTCCATTTTGGTCATAGAAGGAAATGAAGCGTAATGTGCTGTGGCATTGTATTGGATAATAGTTCTTACTAACTCCAGCCAGCATCTCCAGCAACCATGCTGACTGGAAATGGTGAGATTTGTAGTCCAGCACATCCGGAAGGCCAAGGTTATTTTATGTGCTGTAATATAAATAAATATGAATAATGGCTCATGCTTACTGGGCGTTCGGGTTGGAGACTAGCTTGACTGCTATGCCACTCTTTTACTGCTGAAAATTTTGTCTGCAAGGCTGTCTAGCCATTGCTGTTTAGCAATTGCCCTTTCTCTCTCTTCAGTGATGCTAGAGTTGAAATCAGCAGTAGAGCAACGCTTGGGCCTCAGGTCGACTGTGAAGACTCCAGAGCCAGTAGAGCTGGATGTTGGAGACGTGGGCACTGGAGTCCTTCCAGATCGGACACCAACACCCACCAGCGTTGAGGTAAGGCTTAGAGAGGGAAATTGGGACAAAGGAGAAAGGAATCTGTGCTTGATCTGTATAAGTTCCAGTTCCTTTTGTCAGGCTTCCTCACCCACAGTTTCAGAGTAGTCACTTTAATGTTAGTTGTATGAGGGTGGAGTTCAGAGACCACCAGGGAATCTTGGAAGCAAGATGTGTCAGCAGTTGGTCCCAGTGAGATCCAGGCTTGGACAAGCCATGTCAAGTCAATTTCTAAACCAATAATTAGATAACTAATAACTACCGTACATACTCGAGTATAAGCCTAGTTTTTCAGCCCTTTATTTAGGCTCAAAAAATCCCCCTCAGCTTATACTCGAGTCAAGGTTGTTTATTATTTTAGTCTGTTATTATTACTGGTTTTATTAAATTAATTTTTTTACTCTATTTATTGTTATTATTACATGTATCATTTTACTCTATTATTATTATAATTATTATTATTACATTTATTATCTTCCTTTATTATTGTTGTTATTACATTTATTGTTTTACTCTATTTATTGTTATTATATTTATTATTTTCCTTTATTATTGTTGTTATTACATTTATTGTTTTACTCTATTGTTATTATTATTATTAAATTTTTATTTTACTCTACTATTATTGGAAGGATACATAAGCACATTTACATTGAAGAAGTTTAAAATAATGGTTTAATCAGAATAGGACAATCATGATTTAAATTACAGTTTTATGTAAATATTCAAAAACATTTAACCTGCGGATGTCTCAATGAGTGTAATCCTATTGGTATCTATTTTTATTTTAAAATTTACCCGTAGCTGCTGCATTTCCCACCCTCGGCTTATACTCGAGTCAATCCGTTTTCCCAGTTTTTTTGTGGTAAAATTTGGTATCTCGGTTTATATTCGTGTCAGCTTATACTCGAGTATATACAATAATTAATGCCTTGGGCATTGGGTGCCTCAGAGGCCACTATACTAGAGACAGCAAGCCGAGGAAAACTCATCTGTTATTCTCCTCAGAAATCTCCACGACTGGCAGCTTCAAATTTTAAATGTGGACTTTGTTGTGGGGAAATCAGGTTAGTGCCTGAGTGGAGATAGACCCAAGATCAGTTAATAAATCCTTACCATTTTGTGACAGCAATAGCATGGACATTGATTTGGTGGGGTTTCTTGCTCAAACAGGAAGGCAATCCAGCATTTCCCAAGCTGACAGAAAGTTAAGACATGTTAATGCTAAAGAGACAGTTAAAGCAGCTTGGGTGCGACAGCACAGGAGCCTATATGGTCCATTTGCAAGCTATTAGACTTTTTATACAAAAGTTCCTGAAATGTTTAGGTTTTTTCTTTGGCAAATACATGTAGTTCACCCTAGAATCATAGTTGGAAGAGACCATGAGCCATCCAGTCCCACCCCCTGACATGTCGGAACACATAATTAAAGCCCTCCCCACCATTAGCCATCCAGCCTCTGCTTAAAAATCTCCAGAGAAGGAGATTCTGCTGTGCTCTGAAGCAGCATAGATGTAGGTGGAATCTTTTTCCCCCTGTGTCCTATTGTGCAGAGCAGCAGAAAACAAGTTTGCCTCCTCCTTAGTGTGACATCCTTTCAAATATTTAAGAATGGCTACCATGTCCACTCTCAGCCAACTTCTGTCCAAGTTAAACATGCTCAGCTCCCTAGGACGTTCTTCATAGGCCTTGGTTTCCAAATTTGACCTGCATTGTAGTGTATTAGCTGGTAGTTTTGCAGATGGGGTGTTTTTGGAAACATATCTCAGGCTTTTGCTGAAAATAAGACTGCACCTCACTTCTGCTTGATGTGGTTTCTTCTGCTTCCTACATACTGATATTTTGAGCTTGCTTTCCTTAGGCTGGTGCCCTCTATTGATGTTGGACTATAGTTGCCATCATCCATGGCCAACATGACTACCACCAACTTGAGGAAGGCTGCTTTATAGTATATTTTCATGTCACTTTTAAATTTATATAAATCTATATAAGGTAAAGGTAAAGGATTCCCCTTGACATTAAGTCTAGTCGTGTCAGACTCTGGGGGATGGTGCTCATCTCCATTTCAAACTGAAGAGCTGGTGTTGTCCGTAGACACCTCCTAGGTCATGTGGCCACCATGACTGCATGGAGTGCAATTACCCCCCGCCAGAGCGGTACCTATTGATCTACTCACATTTGCATGTTTTGAACTGCTAGGTTGGCAGAAGCTGGGCCCAACAGTGGGAGCTCACCCCACTCCCTGGATTCAAACCACCAACCTATTGGTCAGCAAGTTCAGCAGTTTAACCTGCTCCAATAAATCTATATAAATGTATATAAATACTCATATAGATGCATTTTGGAAAATAACCTCATAAATAAGACACTGGAGAATTGTAAGAGTTGTCTTCCAAAAACAGGAATTTTCCAATTTCTGGTAAAGGGTTGCAGCCTAGGCAATGGGTTATCATATACTTTAGATCTGCCTTCAGTTTTTCCATGTTGCTAATCAGAAACACAGTATCCGGTTCAGCTCAACATTTTATTTATTGCTTGTCCATGCTGTCTCCTTTTCTCGAGATTTTTAAACAGAGGCTGAATGGCTGTCTGCTGGAAGTCCTTTAATTTTTTATATATCTGTTCCTGTATGGCAGAGGGTTGGACTGGATGTCCCTTGCGGTCTATTTCAACTTTGTGATTCTGTATACCAAATCCACAAATAATAAATTTTGCAAAAATTAAACCCACAAATGTGGAGAGTTGACTGTAATATGCATTATTTTCTTTCTTTATAGGATCTGACCCCTGGCAGTGTGGAAGAAGCAGAGGAGGCAGAGCCTGATGATGAATTCAAAGATGCAATTGAGGTCTGTGCCCAGAGAGGCTGGTGGGTCTGTGCTGTGCTGGAGTCAGGTGATACTGGTCGGTCAGCAGGTTAGAGAGGCTGCCCTTGGTTCTCTTCAATGAGGGCAGTGAGTGACAACAAGGAAGAGTCTGTGCCTTTTATGCTGAGAATATCCCTTTGCGGGGACGAGATAGAAATAAGTGGTTAAACCCTGTGTTCTCAGAGTGCATCCTGAAAGGTGTGGTTGCTTTGAGCTAGGGTTTTCTGCTTCCTGTCTTCTGGCTTTCATCTCTTGTCTTTTCTCTTTGCTGCGGGAGTAGGAGACCCAGCTGCTAGTAGTAATGGTGAGTGTCAGAGCCACATCACCTTGTTCTAAGCCAATGGCTGTTCCTCTTGCTTGTGAAAAGTTGCTGACTTGAAACGTAGTCAATATTGCGGTGTTATCCTAGATCATGCCCCATTTTTCTCACCCATCTTCTCAATTTTACTCTTTTCCAGCATTTCTCATTTCTCTTTAGGGCTGTGTTTTCTGATTGATGACATCTAGTATCCCAGTAGACCTTAAAGTGCTTTTCCTTTCTTTCCTGCAAACTATCCTTGTGAACTCATTCATGGACCACTGCTTTGAGTAGTATTGCTCTAGGGTAGTGTTTTGGACTTCAACTCTCAGAAGCTCTGATCATTTGCCAAGGCGCAGCAGAGGCTTCTGGGAGTTGATGTCCTGAAGGATTAGAGTTTGTGAATTATGACCCCAGGTTAGGGCTCCTGAAACTTTTCCCACTCACTATTCCTTTCTGCCTGAGAAATGTGTACCTGACTCCAGATATACAAATATATAAAAGAGGAATAAAATTAAACATTTACTGATAATAAATTTATTTTATTTATTTATTTACATCATTTATATCCCGCCCATATCAGCCCGCAGGCGGTCTACATATCGGCACAATTCGATGCCATCAATACATACATTCAAAAGCAAAGACAATTAAGTGCATTTAAACAAAAAAGACAGTGCAATAACAATTTAAAAAGAGCTATATCCTCTCATTCCAATCCTTGTCCGTTTCATCATCTTGGCCGTACCTGGGTCATTCTCCATCTCAAGCTTGACTATCTGTTTCGGGGTTCCGAATGCTTGCTCGAAGAGCCAGGTTTTTACTCTCTTCCAAAAGGTCAGGAGGGAGGGGGCTGATCTAATATCCCTAGGCAGGGAGTTCCACAGCCGAGGGGCCACCACAGAGAAAGCCCTGTCCCTCGTCCCCGCCAAGCGTGCTTGCGAAGCAGACAGGATCGAGAGCAGGGCCTCCTCAGATGATCTTAACTTCCTGGAGGGTTCGTAGGAAGAGATGTGTTCGGATAGGTAGGCTGGGCCGGAACCAAATCAGCATTTGCCAAACCTTGCTAAACAGGTTGATTTTCTTTTTTGTGAAGTACAGTTGAAGCATTTTCTGCAAAGTCCATTGTAAACACTGCAAGTTGTTGTTAGCTGAATGGTGTAAATAGGTGGGGTTCAGAAGCTTTTTACAGTTGCCATATTCTTCATGACCCCAACATTGAGCTGAGGAGACCCCATTAGGGTCAGGGCCCACAGTTTAAGAAGTAGTTCTCTAGAGCAGTGGTTCTCAACCTGTGGGATGCAATATGTTTTTGCCTTCAACTCCCAGAAATCCTAACAGCTGGCAAACTTTCTGGGAGTTGTGGGCCAAAACACCTGGGGACCCACAGGTTGAGAACCACTGCTCTAGGAGTGGTTTGCTTGTGGATGTTCCGCTGTGTTTTTCACTAGACCACTCCCTAGATCAGGGGTCCTCAAACTAAGGCCCGGGGACCAGATGCGGCCCTCCAAGGTCATTTATCCGGCCCTCGCTCAGGGTCAACCTAAGTATGAAACTACTTAAAAGCACACAATAACAACAACAATCCTATCTCAACAGCACACACTTTCCATTGCAATACTAATAAGTTTATATTTGTTAAAATTGTTCTTAATTTTAATTATTGTATTGTTTTTAAATGTTTTTGCACTATAAATAAGATATGTGCAGTGTGCATAGGAATTCATTCATATATTTTTTTAATTATAATCTGGCCCACCAACAGTTTGAGGGACTGTGACCTGGCCCTCTGTTTAAAAAGTTTGTGGACCCCTGCCCTAGATAGTTTGGCCCCAGCTAGGATCCAAAATCTTGCCCTCACACTTTACTACTGTAAAGTGTTCTGTACCCAAAGTTATAATGCTCTAGTTTACATTGCCCTCTAGCTCTACTATTGCCATATGAGTTATGAACTTTATCCATCAGCCCTATCTTCATAATTGTTTTGGCACCAGTCCACCCTCTCGTTCCCAGAAATTGATCATTATCACAGGCTCATTGGTTGTTGGTTTGATGCTTGCTTTTATATTTTGTTATAATGTTGTTGTTGTACTCTGTTTTATGTTGTTAAGTATTTCAATGTGTTATATTTTAACTGTGTTTGCTTGGGGTTGTCCCCATGTAAGCTGCCCCGAGTCCCTTCGTGGAGATGGAGGTGGTGTACAAAAATAAAATAATAATAATAATACTGTAGGACATAAAACAAACAAGGTGTTCATTTCCTTCTTGACAAGCTCTTCTCTCCATCTCCCCAGGAGGATGATGACATCTCCCAGTGCTCTGCAGAGTTCGAGCTGGGCCTTCCTGAAAACCCCTTAATGAGCAAGAATGAAGCAATCCGTAGGAGGGTGACACAGCTGAAGGAGCGTCTGCGGAAGCGCTACCCGAGTAACAACCTCAGTGCTGGCCTCGGAGGTAGGATGGCAAGGGCTGAAGAGGGGAGCGTGCTGTGGAATGGCGATTGCTTGAACCGAAGCAGGATAGTATGGTTCAGGAATGGGCAGTGGGGGAGAATGGGTATTTTTTTTCAGAACCTGAAATGATCTTAGAAAGTCATATGTGGTTGTGAAGAAAGGTTATAATGCCCTGTAAATGGTGTGCTCACCCAAAATAGATTATTTATAGTTAACTGGACAGGTACAGTCAACCTTTATGTAGTGTGTGTGTGTGTGTGTGTGTGTGTGTGTGTGTGTGTGTATTTATATATATATATTAAAGTTTCCATGATACATCTTATTAAAACACATACTATTAAAAAGGGAGCAAACAAAAGTAGCAAAACAGAGAGAAAGAAAGAGGGAGAATATGAAAAAGGACTGAATGTGGGGAGGGAAAAGAAGGGGAGAGGGTGGGACAGATGTGTAAAGAGAAGAAAGGAAAGTGTATTAAAAAAATTACAAAACAAAGATAACGTGTTTCATTTTTCTTTCGGTCTGGCTTCCCGGTGTCTTCGACGAGGTTTTCCTTTTCTTTCTTCTTCGTGTTTCCCCTGATATTCTCCTGCCCTTCTTCTATAGTCAGTTAATTGCTTGGTGGGGTAAAGTTGATTTTGTCCTTACATTACTTAGAGTATTTATTTATACCCTGCTCTCCAGTTACAAAGGCTCTTGGGCGACTGACAAATTGTTAATTTGAAAGTTCCTTGTCCTCGAATTTACAATCTACATAACACACAAAACATAAGAAAAAGGGAATGCTAGTGAGGGAAAGGATTAAGCTCAGTGGACTCTGTTGATTCCCTCTCTGAAGCCAGAGCAGTGGCAGTTGGGATGGAGGGAGGGACTTGCCTTTGCTTCTGGGCCTAGGCATGGTGGAACTGGGACTGCCTATCCACTTCCTCCAAGGCCAGGATAGTGGTGGCTGTGATGGGGGGAAGACCTCTCATTTGCCATTTGGCCACTTTTTGGCAATGAGGACTCTTGAAAAGTTCAAGAAACACTGGAAGCAACAGAGAGCATGTGAAAGCCTTAAAGCACCTGGCTAGTCCCATTTGTACTATATGGCTGCCACATTACATTTTAAATGAACACCAGTGGCAGCCATTTTTAATGTAACTATTTTAAATTCCTTTTTGGGTATTTGTTGTAATGTTTACTTATGCTTTAGTTAACTATGACTTCTTGGATTGTTTTGTTTTGTTTTATTTTTTATCACAATGCCTAATTCTTCATCGTAAGCTCACGGTTATCACTGTTGCTTTATTGTGTGTTATTTTGATACATTTGTGCTCACATGAGGCATTGAATGCTTGCCTTTTTGTATGTGTAAGCTGCTCTAAGTTCCTTTGGGGAGAGAGGGCAGTCTAGAAAAAACTATGATTATGATTACGATTATTATTATTGAGGATCCATACATTTTAACACCTGGCAAAAATGATTTGTAGAAATAATGGGAAAGGAAATGGATTGGCTAAAAGCTGTACATTTAAAAAATGCAATCCTGTGTCTGTGTGGTGCTTTACAAGTATCTATGTCAAGAAGAAAAACACTGTTATTCTATAACATTACAAGGAATAATAATAATAATAATAATAATAATAATAATAATAATAATAACAACAACTTTATTTTTATACCCTGCCAACCATCTCCCCTAGGGGACTCGGGCGGCTTATAAGGAAACATCATTAGAAGTAAGGGAGTAAGCATCCTGCTGCTAGTTCTCTTTTACAATCACCCTCCTTTTCCATTACTTAAGCAAACATTTTTTTTATCACACACCTGCTAAGGTAACATGTAGTCCTGCCCTGTGTGAAAGTGACTAGACGGTGACCACCCAGAGAGGATGAGTGGGGAGTTGTATTGGGTCACTCCCCAGTCCAAGTCTTAACACTTAAACCCTTATTATGTGACCAGTTTGCCCTTAGATTTTTTAGGAGATGGAATATTCCACCTAATGCCAAATACCATGTTTATATGCAGTGGGCACAGCTCTTTATTCCTGGCACAAGCTGCAGAGCAGAAGACTGGCATCTTTCAAGAGGGGCAGGATGTTAATTCAGGATGTTTGCTGTCTTGTAGAACTCTGCTTGTCTCCCGGTTCCTGCAGAGAGACCTTGCCCTGGCGCATGGGTGGGTCTCCTGTGTGGAGGTAGCAGAGAACACTATCTCATAGATCAGGGCTTCTTAAACCTTTTCCACTTGTGGCCCCTTTCTGCCTGATAAAGTTTTATCCAAACCGAGGTATATATATATATTTACTATAAAAATCAAGCATTTACTGATAACAAATAGGCATGTGCAAGGCTTGCTAAACAGGTTGCCTTTCCTTTTTGTGGAGTACAGCTGAAGCATTTTCTGTAAACACTGCATGTTGTTGCTAACAAATTTGTGTAAATGGGTGGTGTTCCGAAACCCTTTACTGTTTCCAAATATTTTGTGACCCTAACTTTAGACTAAGAGGGTCCCATTTGTGGTTGGGGCTCATAGTTTAAGAAGCATTGTCATAGAGTGATGTTGGAGTAGAAGGCGCTGTGATCAAGGGACAGAGGGATAAGTGCGAAGAAAGGTAACAAATTGCTGCAAAAGGGAAAAAGACACCTGCATTGTGACATGTATCCTTTCTGATTTTTTTTTTAAACAGGGAGCTGTGCAAACTGTTCAGCTACGTTTTCTGTATTAAAGAAGAGGGTGAGTCTGTCTGACCCATTAACTTGTCATTTTTGGTCCCCTTTTCTTGTGGATCATAAGCTTCAACTATATTTCTGTAGCCCCTTCTACACTGCCATATAATCCTATTTGAAACTGCATTATATAACCAGTGTAGACTCATATAATGGTTTGATTGCATTGAACTGTGTTATATGAATCTAAACTGACCATATAATGCAGATCAGATCACTAAATAAGTAAAAAATACCTAGCCCCAGATAGGTTTGCAGAATGTGGGTTCTTCCTACTGCATTTATGCAGTTCCAACATGATATTCCTGAGTATGCCTGAATTTTAAAAAATGCATTAGCAGTAGCTTAGCACTTCCAAATCAGATCAGCACCATCATGTAGGTTAGAAGTTGTTTTTTTTTTCCTTTCCGGTATCCCCTGCCACTGTTTTAGGTAGGGAGAAGCATGTAGGCACTCTCTTTTGAGTATTTATACAATTTTCCCTGCTCTTGGAATAGTATGTGATTCGGGTGGGGAAGGTGCATCCACTACAGTGTCAGCCCTTTCAGGGGCCTGGCAGCTGTGCTTAACTTAAAAACAAAACGTAACAGCTGCCAATGCGACTCACTGATCTCTTTTTCCCTGTTTAGTTGTATATTCAGATGAACAATAGTAGTCTGGCCACCAAAGGAACTGTCTTGGGATCTGAGGAATATCCTGGGATAGGCTACATTTCTTGATTCTTATGCCTAGAACTGTTTTTTCTGTTTCCTCCCTTCAGCGGAGCTGCAGCAATTGTGGAAACATTTTTTGCTCCCGGTGTTGTTCCTTCAAAGTTCCCAAGAGCTGTATGGGTGCTACAGGTGAGGCGGGAGAGCAACGTGGAATAATAAGTGGGGTTTGTGGTGTGGGGAGGACAAGGAAAGTGAGAGTAATAATGTGAATATTCTGTCCTGAGGGCTCCTATAATTCTGACATCTGACTTTTGTGTGTGACAGAACAGTGGTTTTGTATTTTAGGCTAGAGGTATGAGGGTATAAGGTGCTTGCATGGGTTGGAAGATGTACCATCCTTGGAGGAGCCCAGATTATCTAATCAATGCTTTCTGTTACAGCTCCTGATGCTCAGCGAGAGACCGTCTTCGTATGTGGACACTGTAACCAAGTGCTCACCAAATGAGAAGTCAATTTGGAGGCTTACTCTATATCCATCTTTGTGGGAAGCAGAGACAGAGTCCTTCTACCCCTCCCTATCCTTGGAACAGGAGGGGGATAGTACCTTTTGAGTATGCTATGTGACCCCGCTCCTTCTGTTGAGAGACGCGATGGAGCTGTCCTGCAGTCACGAATTAACTGTGTAGGAAGCTCTTTATATGCACCGAGTACTGTATGCTTCCCTCCCCCCTGGCATACATCCTAGCTCCAAAGCAAACAGTTCTTTGCTTGCCTAGAGCCTTGAATGTCTGGTCATCCTCACCAGAAGTTGATCCATCCTCTTTTGTTGGGGGCACTTTTGGTTTCAGGACTGCCTGGCATCAGGGTGGCTGTTTTGCTGCTAAGTGAAATGTCAGTTCTGTTTTTGGTTTCAAAGTGGAAGCTGGTTCTTCCTTCAGTCAGGAACTATAGTTAGTTCTGTCAAGAGCAGGCTCTTGCGCATTACGAAGGTGAAATCTGGTTGTCCAACCTGGGATGAGAGAATTGCATAGCTGGACCTGCATTTTCTCCCCAGTATCAGGTGTGGACAGCACTATTGTTCTCCTCTGTATATTCATGCCTTAGATATTGCTTTCTAGATAGTTGCTAGCTAGGGCTCTTCAGTCTGCCCTGTGTGGGAACTGGGAGTCTTGCCTGCTTTGTCCCTGCAGTATTTGTGGACACAGGGTCTACTGTAGGCATCCGGAAATTATTTTAATCTCAGAGTTTGACAGGAAGTGGTGGATTCCTTCTACAGGACTGGGACATTTTTGGACTGCTGCCACCTTCTTAGCAGAGTAAACTTTTTCAATAAATAGTGACCTGGGAGAATGGAACACAATTAGTTTTTGACATGGTGTATGGGAATAGGATGAAGGGGCCTATCTATGCATAAAGACTATAGCATTGTAAATATACTTTTGAGGTTTACATTTCCAAGGTTCTTCCAGCCATGATGGTCACTAATTGTGCTAACTAAGGAATTCCTGGAGCGGTAATTCCAAAAAAGTAATTTCTGGAGACTGTTGGAGAAGAACCTCAAATATGCTGCTATGAGATGGAATGATATTAACTCAGATGCAAGAAAGGGGATCGGAACACTGACACAGTTACATTTTGAAGTGAGAGTCCCCTTAGCTGTATCCCTAAGAAGAGTCCAAAAATGCAAGCGGCTAAATTGATCCATATCTAAATGTAGATATACATCCATCAAAACATATTACATTGTGGTAAAGAAAAACCTGTCCTGCTCCTGGGAGTCTTGCTGTTGAGTTCAGGGAGAGCAGGGGAGCCTTAGATGATAGGAGATGATGTTGTGGCTAATCAATAAGTCTTGATGTTTCATCCATACAAGACCTGGTTTCACTACATAAGAGAATGCACAGAGTAGCTGTTCTATGGCAATTGGTACATCGAGGATAGGGAGACCTCCGCAAAACAAAAATGTAGAGCAAATGGACTATAGTGCAGAGTTGCAGAGAAGACATGGGGGAAAGTGCCCTCAGAACTACTGCCAACACTCCATGTGTGAAGTCGGGGACTCAAGCTATAAACTAGGACACAGTGGTGTAGTAGGCAGATATAGTGACATTGTAATTGGGGGATGTCCCAGGAGTGCATGGTGATGCATTTCTCACCTCATCAGGACTGAAGGATTGTTGAGGCAAGAGTTGAGGGGAGGGAATGGGTGAAGCAGGAACACAAAGGCGGGTATATACAATAAATTGAAATTGGGTTCAGGAAAACAGAAGGAAGTATGTGTTTGCACAGAATATGGAAGGAAATCAAGTTAATAGAATCAAAGAGTTGGAAGGGCTATCTGGTCCAACCTCCGGCCATGCAAAATGTGATGAGGCTGCTTGTTCACATGACATGAAAGGTGGACTACACCAAATAATGGTAAATGCTTCTATGCATTTTGACTGATACATAAAGGGGATCGCCATGTTTTATATAATGCAACCAAATTGGGTGGATAAGTACATCCGTTTTATCGCTTCTGAAAGGTGTGTCAGAAATGAAATGGTAGACTCGACTAATTCACATTATGGGACTATACACAGTTATTCACAGGGATATTAATTCTATTAGAATAATCTGTATAAATGTTAAGTGTCAAGAAAACTAAGATTTTAAAAGTCTGGTTCTAACTTCCTTTTTACTTTCTTCCTGCCATTAAAAAAATGACTACAGCAACTGAGTTATTTTGAGTCCTAGAAGTAATCCTTCTTGTAATACTTCCAGTGTTTTGTACATTCATAAAGGTGAATAGACTCCCTTTCATATTTTCCTTGCATAAACATTTTAAAACTCATCCTACAAAAAAAGAGAGTTGGCCTTTAAAAGGGCTGACTGGTGTGTTTTGCTGCTCTGAAAAAGACATGAAGACTTTCAAGTGAGATGAGTGAAGACCACCTAAGGCGACTGGGTTTTTTGTAGCCACGTTCCTCTTGCTTTTGCTTACTAAATATCATGCGCTTTTGTTCTAGAGTATGAAACATTACATGTGCATTGTGGTGATAAGATGAGAACTAATTGAATCTTTAAAGGAAGCTAATAGGAAAACTGTAACTTGATTTTTGATGTGCAGAAAGGGAATGGGGGAGGCTAATGGTTTTGGCAGTGGTGCAGTTTTATAATTTGAATGAATCGTCTACAGAGGGTGGGTGGGAGCAACTTCAGAGGACAATATAAATTACTTCATTTCTTTCAAAATGTATTATGCTAGCCAAGCTGCATTTGAGGTCCTTCCTCATTCTGCAGTTTGCAGCCCTGGACTTTTGCTCCCTACCCCCAGTCCTAACCCAGTGGTCTTATGGGGCTCTATATAACTATATGGACTAAACTCTAGTAAGCTAGCTTTTAGATTTTATTTATCATATCAGGAGCAAACCAGGGGTATTTAAAAAAACACAAAGCGTAAAAATTTGGCATTCTACTAAGTGTCCTTTGACCAGTAGGTGGCCACTTGGAGTGCCTCTGGTGTTGCTATAAGGAGGACCTCCATTGTGCATGTGGCAGGGCTCAGGTTGCATTGTATTAGGTGGTCTGTGGTTTGCTCTCCTCCATACTCGCATGTCATGGCCCCATTTCTTAAAGTTGGCTCTGCATCTTGTGGTACCAGAGCACAGTCTGTTCAGCACTTTCCAAGATGTCCAGTCTTCTGTGTGCCCAGGGGGGAGTCTCTCATTTGGTATCAGCCATAATTTGAGGTTCCGGGTTTTAGTCTGCCACTTTTGGACTCTCATTTGCTGAGGTGTTCCTGTGTATCTGTCAAGACCCAGACGGACCAGCAAGCAAAACGGCAGTGAAGGAGTTAAACAAAGGTCTTTAATGTCTATTAGCACAACAAAAGGAGGCTCTTAAAGTCAGAGCTATAAACACAAAAGGCTTGCGGTCAGCAAGAATGTAAACAAACCAAGTCCCAGTCAGTCCTCGCTGGCAAAAGGAAAGCAAGTCCAAACGCAGGCAAAACAGCTTCAATTCAGCAGTAAAAACTCAGTTCATTTCAAAGCCAAACAAAACAGCAAACAGCAATCCGCATGAAGAGCGGTCCAACGAAGTCACCAGGGGATTAGCAGAGGCGTAGTCAGGAGTCCGAGGGTCAAGGCAAGGAAGACTCACAAGTCCAGGTCCGGCAAGATTGTTCACACGATCAGGAGTCCACGAAGCTGCAAACAAGAGCTCAGGGCAGAAGTTAAACACAAGGCACACGGTAACGCGACACTTTGAACTCTGCGATTAGTTTGTTCCCAAACTGCTCCTTAAATCTCATCCGAGTCGCTGGAGTTACTTTCAGGTGCGTCTGCCTCCACAGGTGAATCCCGACTTCGCCATTGCTGCCAGTCTGCTTCGGGCTGCATCCTGCAAAGTATTATCTGGAACCCAAGTGTCATTAAAACCCTGGAATTCATCGCTAGACGTGGGAGCATTAACCACATCTAATACTTCCTGAACTTTAGTCCAATCCAGCTCTTCCTCTTCGCTGTCAAACTCCTCACAATCAGCTACATCTCTAAGGCGTTTAACAACAGATCCCACATCACTATCCGAGCTGCTTGCTACTCGCTTTACACCGCGGTAATCTTCCAGCTCCATTTCCTCGCGAGTAAAACCCTCAAAATCTTCCTCATCCGTAGTCTCTAAGAACAAGTCTCTAATACGTTTCAGCTGTTGCTGAGCTTCTTCATCTTCTAAACCACGTTTCCTTCTACTACTAGTAGTAGGTACATGAGACAGATGCTGACTCACAACAGTATCTGTGTAGATCTTAAAAAACTATTTTTTCATTTAAGGTATTGGCATGCTGGCTGATATCCGACGGGATGGGCTGAAGATGTCACTGCCTTGGTCCTTTTGTTATTGGCTTCTACTTCCCGACGGATGTCTGGTGGTGCAATGCCGGCTAAACAGTATAATTTCTCCAGTGGTGTAATTCATAGACATCCTGTGATAATGCAAAATGTCTTATTAAGAGCCACATCCACTTTTTTTAGCGTGGTGAGAAGTTTTCACAATGGCCATGCGTACTCAGCAACAGAGTAGCAAAGCGCAAGGGAAGATGTCTTCACTGTGTTTGGCTGTGATCCCCAGGTTGTGGCAGCCAGCTTTCGTATATTGTTTCTAGCACCCACTTTTTGCTTGATATTCAAGCAGTGCTTCTTGTAGGTCAGAGCATGGTCCAGGTTGATGCCCAGGTACTTTGGTGTGCTGCAATACTCCAGTGGGATTCCTTCCTAGGTAATCCTCAGAGCTCAAGATATTTGTCTGTTCTTAAGATGAAAAGCACATGTCTGTGTTTTAGATGGATTAGGAATCAGCTGGTTTTCCCTGTAATAGGCAGGGCTCGAAGCTCCCTGCTTGAGTGGTGATGGTGCAATCGTCAGCATAGATGAAACTGTCCTTTCTGGCAGTGGCTGTTCATTTCTGTATATGTTAAACATTGATGGAGCAAGCACACTCCCATGAGACAGGCTTGTTTTGCCATCTGCTTCTCTGGCATTGGAACTCAACAAAAAAAGCTTCTGTTTTGTAGCAGATTTCCTATGAAACAGGCGAGGTGGTAGTCCTTTGTGATATTATAGGTTTACAGTGTCATAAGCTACTGACAGATCTATGAAGACAGCTCCTGTAATCTGCCTTTCAAAACTATCTTCTATGTGCTAAGTCAGGTTCAGCACTTGTGATGTGCAGCTTTTGTCTTTCCTGAAGCCAGCTTGCTCTGAAATCATACAAGGATCTATTTTTTTCCATAATTCTATGCACCATAAGTCTTTCCAGAACTTTGTAAAGATGGCACACCAAAGAGATTGCATTTGTAGCTTTTTGGATCATTACAGTCTTTGCCTGGTTTCAAGATGGCTATGACTCTTGCTTTAGATGCACATCAAAGATTACACACAATGGGAGAGTCTTACAATTTTGTTAAACAAGGGCTCCTTTTAGATTCAATATGAATTTGTTTAGAGTGTTTTTATTTGCCTCACAAATTGTGGAGTACCATTTCTTTGGGTCAGCAGTGACTTGAGAAACTGCAAGTTGCTTCTGGTATGAGAGAATTGACTGTCTCCAAGGACGTTGCCCAGGGGATGCCCAGATGTTTCATGTTTTACCATCCTTGTGGGAGGCTTCTCATGTACCTGCATGGGGAGCTGGAGCTGACAGAGGGAGCTCAACCCACTCTCCGGATTCAAACCGCTGACCTGTTGGTCAGCAGTCCTGTTGGCACAAGCGTTTAGCCCATTGCGCCACAGGGGGGCTCCATGGAGTACCTGATAGGCCTTGATAATGTTTTGATCAAGGAGAACTCAAATACTTGTAGCATTTCTTTTCAAATTGAGCCAGGTCATAATGATTAACAGAGTTCCTTGTTGTGGATTCTGTTACTTCATGAATAGTCAGTATGAGGCATAATACAGGAACTATATGCAGGAGAGGGGAGCCGGGGGAGACTTTAAAGGTACAAGAGTGTTTTAAAATGGTTCATAAAGGAAGGTTAAGACCACATTCTCTTTTGACCACATTCTCTTTTGAGTGCTTTTGAACATTGAACTCTGGTGTTGACTCTTTTCCCTCAAGGGAGCAAGTGCTCTCTAGTCTCAACCGTAAATTAAAAACACTTCCTCAGTCTAACCAGGAAAAGAGCACTGCACATCCATTAATATCATGCCACTTCTTGGTTGTGTTTGAATCTTGGATTGAAATGTCACTAATGATTTGAATCCCCGTATAAAGCAAGCCATCTCTGGAAAATGAACACAGCCATGCGGCTTAGAAACATTCTTGGGGAAAGGTTAAGATTCCGTCACAAGCTCGTGGGTACAGTAAATGAGGAGAAAGGAACTGAAGAAAGAAAGAACAACTCTACTTTGCTAGCTAAAATCCACATAATGATGCATGTGCTTTGAATCTCATCTCTGTTGGATCTTTTCTGGTGCTTACAGCAAGTCTTCAGGTTTTAGAACTACTGGCAATTCAAACAGTTGGATTTTCTTGGACACATCATGGATTCAAGTATTTTGGAACATTTTTTTCATTTTTGTGTGATTGAATACTGAAAGTGAATGATAGTCATGTGACCGCTGTTCATATATATGATCACTTCTCAACCTGGGGGTCAGGACCCCTGGGGGGTAGCCAAAGACCATCAGAAAACATAGTCTTTTCTGTTGGTCATGGGGGTTCTGTGTGCCAAGTTTGGTTCAATTCTGTTGTTGGGATTTGGATTGTACATGAACTATGAATCCCAGCAACTAAAACTTCCAGATGTCAAGGTCTATTTCCCCCAAACTCTACCAGTGTTCACATTTGGGCATATTGAGTATTCATGCCAAGTTTGGTCCAGATCCATCATTGTTTGGGTCCACAGTGCTCTCTGGATGTAGGTGAACTACAGCTCCAAAACTCAAGGTCAATGCCCACCAAACGCTTTCAGTATTTTCTCTTGGTATGGTAGTTCTGTGTGCCAAGTTTGGTTTAATTCCATCATTGGTGAAGTTTAGAATGCTCTTTGATTGTAGGTTAACTATAAATCCCGGCAACTACAGCTCCCAAATGACAAAATCATCCCCCCAACCCCACCAGTATTCAAATTTGGGCATATAGGGTATTTGTGCTAAATTTGATCCAGTGAGTGAAAATACATCCTGCAGATTTGATATTTTCATTGCAATTCATAACAGTAGCAAAATTAGTTATGAA